AGATGTTAGCAGTGCCAAGGCGGAGACACTCTTCAATAGCCAACCAGACAATATAAAAAAATCAAGGCCCATGCACAGCACGTCTAAACTGTCTGGGGATTGACCTAACAAAGAATCCACAAACCCTCTACAGAGATAACTCTGAAACTCTGAGAAAAGGCAGAAAATATTATATGAATACACAGAGAGACACTCTCTGCTCTTGTGAACGCTCGAAGGTCAATTCCACCCCCCAAATTGGTAAATTTATTGGAACTCTAATCAAAATCTAAGATTCTTTAAAAAGAGATTCTATAAACACCTTCTAAAATTTACATAAAGAAATAGAAGGCCATGACTAGTACGGTCGAATCTGAAGAAGAAAAGGAAGACTTGCCTTGCTAGATATGAAGGCACACTAGAAAATGCTGACCACGGTCTGTTACTGGTTCAAAAGCAAACCAAAGAAATGAATGGGGCCAAAAGGAGAACTCAGAAACAGACTCTTGCAAACTTAATATGGTATTTCAGAAAAGCTGTCACGAACCAGTGGACAAGGGCAGACTAACTCTAATAACATGAAAAAAAAAAAAAAAGAAACCAAACCTGGACCCCACCTAATATTTACATAGAAAGATGGACTCCCTAAGGGTTTTACATTAGCCCTGTAAAATACAGAGTAAAAATATAAATAAAATTAATAGAAGAAAATGTTAGTGGGCCAAAGGTGAAAAAGGTCAAAAGTGCAAATCATAAAGCAAAAGGGATTGATGAATTTGATTACTCAAAAAGAAAAGATTCCTAGCCAACAAAGGATGTTGTGGACAAACCTAATTGATAAAAGATACATGTACTATGTAAATCCAGCAAGGGACTGATATCTATAAAAAAAGACTCTGGGCAATCAGCAAGGAAAAAGAAAGAGCTCATTGAAAAATCAGCAGAGGATATGAACAGGCAATTAACTGAAGTAAACCTAAAAGGCTAAGAGATGTATAGAGATGTTCAAACTCATAGTTAATTAGAGAAATGCAAATTATTACAACCATACACAGAGAAAAAGAAGTAAAAAAAAATAAAATAAAAAAAGGAAAAATCTACCACTCAATCTCACTTTACACTCAGGATATTAACAAAAATTAGAAAACTGGATAATGCCAAGCGTGGCCAGAGATTCACTGTGGGGGATGGAGGATTGGGACAGCCTTCCAGGAGAGCAGTCTGGCAGGAGGGAGAGGGGTCAGATTAAGCAAATGCCCAACCTCTGATCCAGCTCTGCTGTTCCTGGGTACATGCTTAGCGAGATTATACCAAAGATGATTAAAGGGACATGTGCAAAGATGCTCTTGAGGCTGTTTGTGTAGCCAAAGCTAAGACAATACACCTGTCCATCCATGGGAGCATGCACACAATGGGATATTATGCAGTAACTATAAGCAATGGATTATATGTGCACACAGCAGCATCTATGAATCTTTCAAAGCATGATTCTTAATGGGGGAAAACAAGAGTTTTAGCCAGTAGCATTTTGTAAATTAAAAAACCATATGTACAGAAAACAATATATGTCTTACGAATACACAGATAAATTGCACAAGAACACAGTAACATGCGGATCGTGAATGGAGAATGGGAAAGAGGAATGAGGACAAAAGGCATTAAGAAAATAAAAAGGCAAGAAAGATCCTTGCAAAAGGTAGACAATGCCTGAAACTGGAGAGGAGTATGAGTAATGTAGCCTTCTGCACCCCCCACCTCCTGCCCAAACTGAAGAAAACAAAGACAGACCAAAAAGAGCTGGATGGGCTTGGCAGAAATTGAAAAAGCTATTTTCAATCTGCAAGTGACTTGGGTGTAGGCTGTCCGTTTGTTTGATGGAAATAGATCTGCTTCGTGGTGAGGGACCCCACAGAGGAGGTGAGGGTTGGGCAGGGAGGCAGCCCTAGGGAAACCCATGAGCAGGCAGCCCAGGGTCTATGAGGGTCTCTAGTACAGAAACCCAGTTTAAGTTATTCACTGAGGAAATTCCCTCTGGAGAGTTTTGTCCAGTATTATAACCTGTGGGGCATTAAGTGAAACCAAGGATTGGATCCTTATGACTTCGATTAAATTTAGTTTCAAATTCTAGCCATAGAAACCATCTCTCTCCCCCCACCCCCATCCGTACCTCGTCTCCCCTCCCCCCACCCCCCACCGGATAATGGGCAATCCCCAGGGAAGCAGACGATAGTAGCTCAAACCGACCAATGAACACAGGGTCCGGACCTCTGGCAGGTTAAAGGTAACATCTTGACCCAAGTTATGTTTCAGTGCCTGAGCCCTAAGGTAGAACCACCTCCTGGCTACTTTCCCCTGAGACCAGACAGGGAGATGCTAGAAAAAAATAGAGCTGTTCTCAAGACCTGAAGAAATGGTTCATTACCCTTACTTCGCCTCTGACCAATCAGCTCCCAGCATGGCCCAAACTTATAACCCACCGTGTGTTGTGATTTTGTCCTACATAACCTGTAACCTGTACGTCAGCAGGGCGTCCAGGCTCCTGGATTGCATCATTCAGAATAAAAGAGCTAATATTTCTCCACTGCACTCCTCCATGTCTAATGTTGGCTCTGCTAGTGCCAGGTGGGGGAACTCCTCTGTTCTGTGACATCGGGGTCTGTGTCCACCAGGGAGCCCCAGAGAGAATGGCAGAGCAGCTCTTCTCCAAGGCTCTGCGGTGGTGGCAGCAGTGACCAGGGCAGGTGCTACCAAAGGTGCCCTGAGCAGCCCCCGGCTGAAGCCGGCAGGCCGAAAGGAGCTGGGGCCCCACGGAGGGTGTCCAGCTCCCAGAGACAGGAAATCTGAAGGGCAGCTGCTGAGGAACAGCACTGAGGCCACTGCCACCAAAGTTGGAGACCTTATTCCTGCCCACAGTCCGGGGAAGTAGAGGGGACATTCAGGGAAACACCCCATGTGTCATACATTTTAATTTTTAAAAAAACAGGATTGTAATATACTGTTTTGCAAAATGCTGTCAGCATGAAGCAGCATTCTGTCAACATTTTCTATGATACTAAATATTCTTCTATAACAATATTATGGTTTTATAGGATGCATGCCCATTACTTACTGCCCAGCCCCAGGCCCCTCCCTCTCCTGCTCTGAGCCGCAGGCACATTTTCCAGGTTCTCCTTGCCAGCTGGCTTCCCACTAGGTTCCACCAGTGGGAGACCCTGCAGAAAAGCAGAGGGTGGGGAGAAGCCAGGGTGTGTGGACTCATCCCCCTTCTTGCTGTGTTCCAGCTCCTGCATCCCCTCCCGGGGTTTTGGACTTTGGCCCAGGTAGTGAGATAGCAGTGGCTTTTTTGATGTTGCTAATCTCTAGTTTGCTTCTCTAGTGTTTGACTTCTCAGCTCTTCCATCACCTGTATAACCAAGCTCATTTGGAAATGCTCGAAATAACTAGAGTGGACTGTCCGTCTTACTGGGCCCTGATGCACAGTGGGCAGATGCATTGTGTGGCGTGCCCTTCTTTTGCTATTGTAAGTCATACAGTAGCCAATACCCTTAAAACTAAATCTTAGTCCCCAATTATGTGTATTTCTTCTGCACAAATTTTTAGAAAATTATCGAAAACATGCTTTTGATGTGTATAGCCTTTTCCCCTCCTAAATGGTTGTACTATTCTGCACTCTCCCCAATTGTGAGAATGCTCCCATTATCTCTCCAAATTCAAATTGGAAAAACAAGGTCTAATTTTAATTTCTTTCACTACTAGTGAGGCCGAATTTCGTTTCGGCTACCCTAGCATCCTCTTACCCTTGGTCAGCTTCCTCCCTATCATTGTTAGTTGCGCAGGCCCATGCCAACAGTCAGGGAATATCACTAAGTACCTGAGAGGGATTCATTTCCCAGGTTTATGTTTTGTGCATTAGGGAGAGGGGAAAGTTTGGTAGGGAGATCACAAAGGAAAGTGCTTTTTAGATGGGCTTTATATCTTGAGTATGAATCACATATGCCTGCAGGCACCAGGCACCACCCCTGAGGGTTCTGCTACGTATCAACCAAACTGCTTAGACAGTAGACTGTAGGGCCAGCTGTGGTTCTTCAGTGGTGTTTGAAACCATGGAGATGCCACAGATATTCCCATTAGAGCAGGTTCCTGTCCCCAAGTCAACAGAAGCTGTCATTGTGCCCTCTGTTCCTGCTGGGAGATGGAGGAATAAGCTTCCTTGTTTCCAGTACTTGTTTGGAAAATCTGAGTCCAGGATACCCTTTTTGCTACTGTTTTCAAAACACTGAATTATTCTCAACTTGACATACAGGCTCCAACAAAGCTTTGTAAAAATAAAAAAAGAAAGAAAGAAAAATAGAAAAGATACCCAGGGGCTTAAAAGATGGCCCGCGAAAAGTCCCCTTCCAGTTGTAGCACTGAGTAGCTGGGAAAAGATATATCTGGGGTCGAGACATGCCTATGAGGAAAAAGGGAAGAAATAAAATGGAGTCACTACAGTCAAGCTAACAAAACCATGTAAATCACTGAAACAGGAATTGATTTTCTCTTACTTTAGCCTGCGGACTTAAGCTTTGGAACTTTTCATTCGTGCTTCAACGTCTAGGTGTACATAAATCCTCTAGCTAAACCTCTGAAGAAGTTAGGAAAGAATACTTCATTGATCAGAACACCGGATAGCTGGAAAATAATCACCTTGGATCAATCTAGAAGCTAAGAATGCAGAACTGATTCTTCTCAAGAATGTGCTTTTCATTTTAAAAACTCTCAACTTTTTTCTTCAGGACACTCTGGGTTTTAGGTGGTTGTGTTTTCTGAATTGCAATTTGCTTCTATGGCTAGAATTTATTGCCCTTGCATAAAACTTGTCATTTAATTCTAGCAAAGCCTCCTGATTTTTTTTTACACAGCTGTCAAAGCATATAACAGCAAAACCATGACACCATAAATTATCCAGTACCAGCCAGGAAGTACTAATATGCCCAAAACATGGCTGCACTCTTAAAAATACTCATGAATCACACGTGCAGTATTTTGAAAAATGTTAAAATTTATTAATAATTAACATCACATAGTTAATTCGACTAGTTCTTTATTGTACATGACAACATCACTAGACTGAGTGCTCCAGGATTTGAGACCTGCTATTTAGCACATCCCAGTCCAAGACTGAGACTGACTGTATTTACATCAGGCAAAGCAGCATCAGCAAGGAGCTGTCACCGAGCTGAGGGATCACCAACATTCACAACGCATGTGCCAGTGCTCTTTCCTAGGAACCAGCAACACCTCTTTCACAGCCATACACACAGATCTTCAACAAAAAATGAGTGATTTCCTAGATGGAGCCTAATTGTCAAGTTTAAAAGTTAAAATTCATCTCTATTTCTTGAGCATCTTTTAGAGTTATATACAAATCTAGACACTGCTCTCAGTACAAGTTTGATAAATGTGCAAAAATTGGGCGCCATTGAATCCTGTCTTTCCATCTTTCTGTTTTGGCCCTGGTACCCTGCTCAGCCCTGTTGCAAGGCCACTCCTTTAGATTTTAGTATCCAGGGATGAAACATGGGCTTAAGGGTTCAGAATCGTCTTCATTCCTGAAAAGCAGCATATGAAAGGTTTTACACTGCTCCCTCACCCCCTACCCCAAAGCTGTTCAAAATAAACATGGTGTATCAAAACCACTCAGGCTAGAGGAGCCTCCACAAGCTTCTTGTAAAACTTTTACAAAACCAGTTTGCTAGGAGGACACAAATCCCCAAAAATGTTGTCCCTGAGGCTTCATTCCTTTGTTTGTTTCATTGTTTTGGTTTTCTATCAATGATCAGACACAATTTTTTTTTTAATGTTTTTGGTGGCTTCTTTTATTTTGTTAGAGAGCTTTAAAATCGACTGCCTTAAAAATGAAGATTCCTAACCAATGAGGCTGAATCCTTTGGTTAATATCCCAGGTAATATTGCCCCAGGAAAGTCTCTACACAGAGCAGCAAGTGGCTGTGGTTTCTTCCAGCCATAGGCCCAGCCTCCTTCATCCTCTCCCTTGCTCTCCGCCTTTCAGAGTCTGCAGGGAAAGGAGGACCTGGGAGGGAGCTGCTTGGACATTCACTCACCAGGAAGAAGCTTCCCTTCTCTTCCCGCAGGCGAATGAGGTATTTCTAGTAACCAGTCACCTTCCAACGTTTACCCAATCTTCCAATGAGGCCAGGTCTGAGAAGCCCCTGTGTATCTATATACACAATAAACTAACATATAAATACATACATACAACCGATTATTACATACAGTATCCAGATGAAGGAGCACATACACTTCATGAACTAAATAAGTTTCAAACATAAGTTAAAATGAAAATACAGTGTTTACACTTCTACAGGAAAAATTTTTTTAAAAATCAGACCACAAAGTTCCCCATTCTCCCCTAAAAGTCCAATGCTCATGGATGACTCGTGAACCCCAAACCGAGATGTGACAAGCCCACTTGCACAACGTGTCAACTTGTGGCTTTGGTATTGCATGCTCAGACTCAGGATGCTTTAATTCCAGGAACAGCAACCCACCAGGTGATGCGTGTAGATGAGGTTGAAGAGGGGCTGCCACTTGGTTATCCATGGTTTCCTCCATTGCCGCCCCTCCTCCACCCCCACGGTCTGCATGTGGGAGAATCAGGCTCAAGTTAGTGGAGACCTCTCAGGTCTCTGAGAAACAATATCAGCCTCCATGCAGGAGGATGCTCTCCACCTAGAAATGTCATATTCAGTGTCCAAGGTGAAGCAGCCAGGGTCCAAGGTGAAGCAACTGTACCTTTTCGTTAGTGTCCTGTAGGATTATATACGGACATGGAATTTGGCCAGGGGGATTACTAAAGGTTAAAATTTGTTTTAAGTTTTAAGAGAACCAGGGGGAATGGTTGTGACTAGTGTGAACAAATCCTGAATTCAAATTTACCTCAGGAAGGCCAAAGCTTGGGCACCAAAATCTGCAGTGAGGATACACAGAGACAAAATGCGGTCTGGCAGCGTCCTCTCTGCCAAGGAAGAGCCGAGGGGTCTGTCTCTGACACAGGGGATGACATCTTGTAATTTAAAAAAGCAGTGAAGAGGGGGAGCCAGAGGAAGTCCGTTCCGACTTCAGGGACTCTATCGCTGTCCAGCCTCGCGGATGCGACAGGCCACCGCAGTGATGAGAGCCGCCCCCTTCCCGCTGCCATCCTCTGACTCCAGGAAGGACACGTCACATTTAGGAGCCAGGTCCTTCACCGCCGCATGCATGACTTTAGCAAAGCTGGAAACGTTGGGAGAAAGACACAGAAAAAAAAACCTTAGTCATGATCGATTTGTGTCCTCAGAGATGAGACCCTATGAAGTGATGTTGGAAACCCAGGAATAATTAAGATGAAAAAAAGAATGGCAGCTACCATGTATTAAACACTTACTATACATTACATATGAGAAAACTGAGCCTTGGAGACACTGGCAAAATGCCCAAATTCTATGTCAGAGCTGGCCAGTGGAAAGTTAAGATTCAAATGTCTGAGATTCTGGCAAGTTATGTTCTTCAAACTAATCAGCGAAAGAGAAGTTCAGCAGTCAGGGATGCCACAGGCGTGCCTTGCGGAAGTGCATAACCTAGTCATAAACCCTGAAGGGAAGGACCAAGCCCCCACGCATTCCATTTTCCAGTCGTACTGACTCACATCAGACCCAACTGAGTCCAAAATGTCATTAAACGCAAAAGGTAACAGGTTCTAGGGGCTGCCGTTGGGACATTACAGAGACCAGCCTTTCTCACCTGTGAAGCCAAGGACAGAGGCTCCTAACAACAAGCCCTTGTGCTGGTAGCTGAGCTTCTATCCTCTTCCCAATCCTCATCTGGGACTAAGGCTCCTATTTTCACAGTGACAATGAACATCAACAAAACGGACTTAGAACGTCTCAAGGGCTACTCTTCTCACTAACTGTATAAACACTCTGGGCGAGTCTCTCAACTCCTTGAAGCAACTCTGGTGATAGCAGGTAGCAATTCAATTGACAAGTCTCTCCATCCTCACTCCGTCCTACCTACAGCCCAGGCCAGGAGCACAGCTCTATTAATTCAGCTTTTAGCTGAAAGGCTTCCAGGGGAGAAGGACTACGGCGTTCCCTGACTTTGAAATAATTTATACAAAACATATGCAAATGAGTGAAGAAGGAAGAGAAATGGTGATCAGAGTTGAGAAAGCAGGAAATGGAGAAAGACAGGGAAAAGAATAAAAATAAAAGGGAAATCAGAACTTCTACACGGGGAAGGGGTGCAGTAGGAAACCTTTCTGTGAAGGGCCAGACAGTCGATATACTTTCAGCTCCGTGGGCCATTGGGTCTGTTGTGAATACTCTACCTTGGTAGCTGAAAGCAACTACAGACAATACAAATGAATGGGTGTGGCTATGTTCCAATAAAACTTTATTTACAAAAAGTTGTAGCTGTAGTCTGCCAGCCCCTGCTTTAGACTGTAGAAAATCTTACTCCAGAAATCTATGTTTCAGTTTACATTTACTAGAATGTTCATAGGGGCACTGTTGGTAATAGTCAATACCTAGGATTACCCAGTATCCTTTAGCAGTAGAATAACAAAGGTACACTATGCAGCTCTGAAAGTTAACGAACTACAGATGTATACTTCAGTGTGGATGCATGTCCAAGCCATAAATGCCATGTGGAAAAGTCAGTCACAAAAGGAGATGCCATAGGATGTCCCTATGGCAGGTTCAAAATTAACTAAGACAATGGAGGTGCACACACAGATACACACACACGGGGAAAAGGAAGCAAGGGACTGAGTCACCACAGCACTTAACCCAGGCAGGACAGGGAATGGGGCAGCCGGGGAGGGGCTCCAGGGGACTTGGGTGGGGAAACACAGGCCTACTTCGGTTTATTAATCTTTAATCTATAATATGTCCATTATGTACATTCTGCAATGCCTGATTATTTGCTCTACGGGAAAGCAAGGAAAGGACAGAGAGGGGGAGAAAGTCGGACAGGGAGTGGGGAGGTCACTCACTGAGGATGGAGCTTGTAGAGGGTTCCGTCCACACCCACTGTCACTTTCAGGGTGTCCAGCCCACGGTTTTCTCGTATTTTGTCCACCACTGCGGCCATGCCTGCGCCACAGAGCTGGGCTGCCCGCCGCGCCACCACGGCGCACACCTCCTTGACAATGATGCTGTCGTCACAGGTGCTCTCAAGCCCCAAGTGGTGGAGGATGGCTCGGACCTGCAGCAGGGCCAGGCGGTCACTGGGGCAGGAGGGAGACAACCGGTGGTCAGTCATGTGCTGGGAGGGAACAGTGACCCGTTACTCCAGGAGCTGGGTCACTGGGAGCTGAGTGTAAAGGCCATCGCCCTGCAAGGTGGCAGCCATTCTGAAGGCAGCGCAGGAACCAGTGCTCATTGCACCGGACCAGACAGACTCTCCTGAGTGTGGCAGGAACACACAAAAACAGCTCCCTGTTCCACTTTGCCCAGATGAGGTCAGGCAATGCTACTACAGAGCTGATACTCAAAACAAAAGGACATTCACCGTCTAGGTATTCCACTTATTTGGAAATAATAAGGACAAGATAATGCTCGTATGTGGCAGCTGTCTTTTGCAAAACTCCCTTGTGTCCATCCTCTCAATGCTGTGCACGGGCCAGCAGGACAAGCATGGCCAGCCAGCACCATCAGATTCGCGCTCTGTTTCTACTCCCCGCCCACCCCCGTGTGGTCTGAAATCCATTTGTGTGCTATTTAGGAAACAAATGCCAATAAAATTGTAGGAAGAAAATAAACCCTATTATAAAGGGAACTGAGAACACTAGAATCGTCTTCTTGCACATCAACAGACACGTAGAATATGTCCTTTCTATTCACGGGTGCAGACAGCCTCGGGCCCCACACATGTCAGTTCCTGTTTTTCTATTCGCCTGAGAATAATGACACAGCATTAATTTTTAAAGGGCTGTGAAATTCGCCATTCTCATTTGGAGCAGACTTTTCTGCCTCAAGACTGGAGAGAGGAGGCTTCGCTGTAATGAGCTGCCACATGGCGTCCTTCCGCATTGCCTGACGAGCCACTTTGACTCTGTCCTGGGTGCCTTATTACTGCACCCCGCAGTTAGGAAGAACCCTCCGGCCAAGGATAAGTGCTTTAATATGTTATCTTTCTAACTTTGATATTTTACCTAAAACCCAATATTACTTTGCGTGGGCTTATGCCAACTTAGCCTGATTTTTCATGGGAATGTGACATGTTTTCTCTTAAAAAGCCAACTGTCTGTAAGATACTTAAAATATACGAGGTGGGACAAAAAAAAAAAAAAGGAATTATCTTCTGAAAGTCCCTTGTGGTACAGGTTTCCCCTGCTAGGGAAGTGTTCCAGGAACCCATCTGTATCCGTGTACCAGCTGGCGTTGTTGTGAGAGGCTGTATTCAGTTTAAGTGAATTTTTTTCTTATTTGAAGATTCTTTCAATGCGTTTGCCTATTTCATGATGGGTGATTTACAAGTAAACCTGCCCACACCGCACTGAGTGTTCAGCAATTTTTAACCAAAAACAGCATGACCCCTGTACCCCACCCTCCCTATTTACCCTATCTTGCCCCGAGTGACTTTTTTTGTTTCCCCAAATGAAAAAAGTCCTCCAAGGGAAACATTTTGCCAATGTAGAAGAGGTAAAACAACAAAAAACAGCAGAAACACTAAAAGGCATCAAAATTGACGAGTTCAAAAACTGTTCTGAGCAGTGGGAAAAAGTCTCGAGAGGTGTGTTGCATCAAATGGAGAGTACCTTGAAGGTGACTGAAGTTTAAACATGTAAGAAATCCTGGGTTTTTTGGGCCTCCCCTTACACTATAGATATGGATGTGTCAGCAACTAAATTGACCTTTGTATAAGCCATGTCCTGATCTGACTTGAGCTGAGGAGGACAGGGTCCTACCCTGCTGCAGCACCTAAATACTCACCTCTCAATCTGAGACAGGAACTTGGTTTCAAAGATTCCCCTTGTCTTGAGCCGCTCTGAGATGCGGCCGCGGAAGAGCAGCCCACGCTTGGTTAAATCGATGAGGATGTTTCGGACAATCTCACCCAAGTACATGCCACTGATCATTTTCTCAAACCTGCAATGGGGGTAAGCATCCACAGAGATTAAGTAGGAAGGAGGATGGGCTGTGTCAAGTTTCCCTCCCTCCCCGCAGGACATTTGAAAGAGGGCATGCAGATTCCCCTGAGCCGGAAAGGAAATGCTACTTGATTCACACGAGCAGGATTCCTGGTGTCTGGTGAAGCTGGCTACTGTGTCCAAGGCCCCCGGAATTTCCTGGAATTGGCCCCACCTTCTGGGCACATTTCCCTTCCAAGGCTTATTTCTGACTTCTCAAGAAGCAATACATACCCAAAGCTACCACACTTCAGGAGAAGGTAGGAGTCTTAATCCTTCACCTTGCTAGGCTGGTAGCATGTTTTCCTTAGACCTAATCATTATCCCTTAAGTCACTAGTGCCAGCTGGCAACACCCCATCCTGGCCAGTGAAACTGAATGTGACTACTCGGAGGGTCTTTTGACCTTGAATAGAGCCTTACAAAAGTCGAGGACCCTGGTTTCAACCAAGACCACACTGATACTCTGTCTTGCTTTACTCAGGCCTGTGTCCCTCATTAATGTTGCCTATAACCTCTACTCTAGACAAACGTTTTACAGAGTATATTATGCAGTTTACCGGGCCCTGATTAATCTAGATAAGAAACACTCTTATCTAGATAAGAAACACTGCTACCTCCTTAGCGGGACGCACGCTGATCTTACATGATTGTCTCCCAGCTCAGCTGCCCCCACACCATTGTAGGGACTTTGTGGTGCTGGGGCGGCCTCGTGTCCAGTCCTGCCAACAGAGGGCACTACACTGTGGACGGGGTAGGGGAGGAGGAGGGAGAGGTCTGCTCCTCTCTGCTGCGTGTTCCTGCCTGCCTGCCATTTATTTTTCCCCAGAAATGCTTCTGCTTCTTCGCCCTCGTGGCATCAGCAGTTCACCTGCCGTTTATTTTTCCCACCTCCCCAGACCTAAGTCTCAATGCTCCCTTCACGACCTGTTCTCACAGCCCTAGAGGTGGGAGCTGCCTCTGACATGTACGAACTCTGTGTGCTCAGTGCCCCCCTTTTGTCATTTCATCCTTCAAAACCTGTGTGACCAGTTCCCCATATAAAATTCTCCTTGCAATATACTGTTGTCATTTGTTTTCCCAACTGGACTTTGAAAGCACCACAGTCCAGCAAGGGGAAAGGACTGTACCCAGAACTTTCCAGATGTACTGAACAAGAAACCCTTTCCAAGGAAATCTCGTCTGTTACCATCGTGGGCTTTGCTACTGTGGAGGATCTGATTCCTTGTCATTATCAGTTCGGGGATACACGTACTAGAGACCACACGCAGTTGGGTGCCCACCTCTGTTTGCCAGGGTTGAGGGAAAGCTCGTCCACAGCCACATCAAATTCCGTGCGGAAGTCATCCAGGCATCCATTGTCGCCGAAGGCCCCCCACTCCATGTTGACACACATCCGCCCCTCTTCCCCATCCACCAGCTCCACATTCCGCATCTCCTCCATGTAGCAGGCATTGCTGCCCGTGCCTGCCAAACACAGAGAAAGCAGGGCCTCACTCAGCATCTCCCACCTCGTCTCCCACCCACCGGAGGCTGTGTGTCCCCACTTGCGAAGGACAGCCTGGGTCCTTACCAACAATGAGGCCAACTTCACAGTGAGGGTCTTCATAGCCACAGGTCATCATAGTCCCGACTGTGTCATTCACCACAGCGACCACGTCCAGGTCAAACTCCTGAGAGGGCAAAATAGATCCTCAGTCCACAAATGAACCACAACATTCTCCCTCCAGATACTCGCAAGGGAGATTTATGTGTCTAGAAAGCTTACGCAGCATGGCTCATTCACTCTTTTTATTCAGGTCTCTGCTGAAATGTCACACCTCAGAGACCTTTCCTGGTTATACTGTTTAAAAGAGTGCCCCTTCCTGAGCCCACTCATTCTGTCCTTACCCAACTTCATTGTTCTTCATAGCTCTATAGCACTGACATTAGCTCAGGGGGTTGTTTACAGTACAGGAGTGTGTTGTGGACATTCCCGAATCCCCAGTGCCAAGAGCAGGGCTTGACACACAGTGGACACTCACGAATTGCCAAAGGACTAAGTTCACTCTCCCACTAACCAATTCACCCGCGCTCAACATTGCCCCCACTTTCCGAATACACATTCGGGCCCCGTGCCGTGTTTCCCCCACCTCTCGCCGGTGGATAGCTTCCTTCAGCAGGGTGACCACGTCCTCACCCTCACAGCCAGACGCCTTGAAGCCTTTCGTCCACTTGAGGAGGATGCTCTAAAAATCACACAGGAAAAGTAATGAGGTATCAGGGAAGGGCTCCTGGGTCCTTCCCTTAGACAGGTCATACAGTCTCTTCAGTAACCAATCGTCTTCCCCACAATTGATTCTAAACCAGTCTCACCTACTTGAATTTCCCAAGCGCCTACAACGTACCAGGCGGTAAGCTAGGCGCATCTCATGTGTTGTGTCATTTAATCCTCACAGCAACCATGCGAAATGTTTCTCATTGTGCTTCCCATTTTATAGTTACTATGGCCCTGCAATAACTTGCCCAAGGCCTGCAGCTGGAGAAGAGGAGCAGGACCCGCCCCCGGGCCCACGACTCCCGCGGATGGGCCACACGCAGCACGCAACTGCCCCTGCCAGGAACCAAGTTCTACACGCTGGTTTCTCTCACTGGGGATGGCAGTTGGCCCTGTCCCCACCTTATACTTACACCAGAGAGGTCAGTGTGTGTCTCTTAACTTTCAGACTCCAGAGTACAGTGAATAGGTGTCCTGTCCCTAGCTGGGATGACCACTAGGCTTCACCATCATCCCAGTGAGGGGAGCAGCTGGGGCTCCTCGGAGTTCCCCCCAAGCCTCCTCATCTTTAATGTGGCCCTTTGCCATGTAACAGGCCCCTCCGGGAGCAGGTAACATGGTGGCTTTGAACAGGAGAGAAGTGTTCAAAAATGAAAGGGCTTGGTTCCCTGGCTCCATCAAGAAACAAAGGTGAAGGACACCAGGTGCCCCTCCTAAGACGCCAGAATCATAAACGGACTCTGTGTGCTCACTATCCGCCCACTCGCATGGTTCTTCCAGGCCTCATTTGGTTGTTCACGCCCATCAGCCTGGCATTTCATGGCCCAGGAGTGTGGTGCCACTAGTCAACCTGAACGTGTCACACTGTGTTCTGATCCTGAGAGATTCAGAAAAGCCAAGTGCAATGCAGCAGAGCTCTGGTTTACACACCTACATCCAAACCCCCATGTGCTTATCTCCACCCAGCTTTCTTGTCTACAGATTGGCTTTACATCTCTGATGAAATTTCGTATTTTGGCCACCTTCAGGTTTACAAAATGTTCAAATAGCATTATTCAGAAGCAGAGGCCCTGACAGCTGGGGAGACTTGCCCAAGGCCACCAGCGAGTCAAGGCAGCTTGAAGCCTCCAGGCCTCGCACCAGCTGATCTTCCCACCAGTAGGACGATCTCACCAACGTAGAACCTGGCTTCTGCTTTATTTCTCTAAATTTTTACAATTCTAGACAGAACACATGGTCCTTGTAGAAACTTAGAACATATAGACCTGGAATCTTACAATTCAGGCAAAAACAGTTAACATGTCTTGAGGCCACCAGACAAATACAAATTTATATATAACATTGGCATATAAATAAAGTAAAGCAATGCCTATTTTAAAATATTTTAGCAGGAAAAGTCTGGAAGTATACACATAGATTGTTATGTTTTTATCTTCTTATTAATTATATTTTTATATGGTTATATAGTATAAAGATAACATTTTCTTTGAAAACTTTTTTAGTCTTACCCCCAAGAGAACACCAACAAGTCTTCCCCACTTGCCCCATTCATTCAAGGGAATGAAAAGCAAAAGTGAGACTAAAGAAGAGCGAGGGCATCCAAATGACAGCAGATGGGTGAAAATGTCCTGAACTTCAAACAAGGGTGTCAGGAGCAACTGGGCTTAATGAGAGCGTGGCCTTAGGTGTTGGAAAACTGGAATTCAAATCATGGCTTAACCATTCCCAATCTATCTGAACTGGTCTTGGTCTTGCCACCCAAGAAATGGCATGTTTTGGATAGTTGGCATCTCTATAGACCTATTTTTCTTTCTGCAAAATGGGTATACAAAACCTACCTTATATGTTGCTGTGAGGGTTAAATGAGGTAATGCATGTTGAAAGCCTGGCACAGTTCCTGGCATAAAGTGCTTTAAAAATGTTAGCTGTTGATTAAAATTTTGATTAGCATCATCATTGTCATCCCAAAGACTGATGGTTCCAGCTGAGCTAACCTATTTAAACTCCACCAGCTCTGACTTAACTCATTCCCACCAATAGGCCCCTCCTCACAACTGGTCACCCATGCCCTTCTTTTCCTCCTCTAAGCTCAACTTTCTCACCTGCTCCAAACTCTAGCTAGTATAGAGTCAACAAAGCCCATAAGAGGGCCCTCCAGAAAGGCCCTGTTACCTCATTCAGGCTGTTCTGCTGGCAGGGGAAGGAGAAGGTGAAGCCCAGGGGCAGGGACACGCCCTTCATGCCCATGTACTCGAGGAAGTCAGCGATGCACTGGACGATATGGTCAAAGAGCTGCAGGGAGGGAGAAGTCGGGCTATCAGGGAGGGGGCCCTGGCCAGGTCAGGCTTCCCCCAGCAAGGCTTGAGCACAGGGGAGTCCTCCACTTGGAAGAAATACACAGTCAGGTGTAATCCTCAGTGAGGTAGCTCTGGGTCCTGGCCTATCTAGGCCTTTCCCTGGAACCATGGTGAGCAGAGAAAGCACTCTTCTCCCAGGCAAAAAATGGGTGTCTACTGGGGTCCCCTCCCAGAGGTGCCACCTGCCTTACCTCATCCCCTGTGCCGTGCATGACCTCCTGTGGGATGGCATAAATCTTGTTGTGCATCTCCACTCCGCGCCGCTTCCCATTCCGCACACGCACCAGCAGGACCCGGAAATTGGTGCCCCCAAGGTCCAAAGCTAGGAAATCGCCTTTCTCTGGAAAATAAACACGGGGAGATGATGACTGGGGCATCACCACCTGACCAAATCACAGAGTGACAGGGTCTAAATCACCTTCCCCTAATGGGGAGATCTCCCAGTGGGGCCTCGACAACCTCAGGGGAGATAGACTGTGAGCTCCATCTAACAGTAAAGAAAATAAGATGCTGGGACCAGAGAGACTGCTGGCTCCTTAGTGGTTCTCAAATGAGTTCAAGTAGGGGGACCCAGAAGTCACAGAGAGCTCTGTAGAACATGGGAAAGGGTGACATAGTACACTCAAAAATATCTAAACCTGCCATTCATGCTAAATCAAATGCCACCTTATGTTAGGTTCTAGAATAGAGAAGGAATGGCAGTGAAGCACCCTCCTTCACTTGGGCAATCACCGCGTGCTTCCTGCCTCACACAGTGTTCATGCAGCCGTCAGGCAGCCCCGGGAGGGAAGTGTTGCGTCCCCTCATCAGAGGGGGCAAGACCTGGCTGAGCTAGGCTGAGTCACTTGCCCAGGGCCACAGAGCCAGAGAGGGTGGAGCAGGGACCAAGTCCCAGTCTCTACCTCTGGAATGAGTACCAGTTGCTTTACATTGGCCTGCTCACCGATCATTTTCTATGACTTGTGAAGAAACTGCCATTTCTCTGGTTGTGAGGTAGAGACCAGGGGTCAACAATATTTTTCTGTGAAGGCTGGGTAGTAAACATTTTAGGTCTTGTAAGCCAGACTCTGCTGCAACCACACAGTTTTGCCATGGTAATGTAAAGCAGCTATAAACAATACATAGACAAATGGGCATGGCTGTGTACTAATAAAACTTTATTTACAAAAATAGATGGTGGGCCAGATTTAGTCTGTGGGCCTTAGTGCACCAACCCCTGACCTAGGGCTTGTGAGAACTGGCCCTGGAACCAAAATCCCTGGGAATGATTCCCAGCTCTGCAATCTTTCAGCTGTGTGAACTTGGGCAGGTTTCTTCATTTCCATGCCTTAGTTCTGTGTCAACCATAACAACTAATCTCTGTTAACAGGTAAAGATTAAATGAATTGACATGTGTTAAATGCTTAGAGAAGTACATGACACTTAGTAAGCATTCAGTGAGTATTTACCATTATCACTGGTCAAATTTTATCAGAGGAAGCCTTGATCAAGCTTCCTCTGATAAATTTCCTGTACAGACAGTCCCCAACTTAGGACAGTTTGACTTAATGATTTTTTTTTAATCCTCACCTGAGGACATTTTCATGTGATTTTTAGAGAGAGGAAGGGAGAGAGAAATATCAACGTGAGAGAAGCATTGATTGGTTGCCTTCGTGTGAACCCAGACTGGGGATCTGCGCCAACTGGGGATCTGCACCAGCCTGGGATCGGACGCATCCAGACCGGAATTACAAATGCCTGTGTCCAGGTAGGGGTGAACCTGCAACCTAGGAATGCGCCCTGACCCAGAATTGATCCTGCAAGCTTTCGGTTACAGGATGACGCTCCAACCACTGAGCCACACGGGCCGGGGCCGACAGTGACTTTTTGACTTTACAAAGGTGTAAAAGCAACTTGCATTCAGGAGAATCTATACTTTGAATTTTGATTTTTTTCCCAGGCTAGTGTTATATGGCATAATACTCTTGTGGCATTGGGAAGCAGTGGTGAGCCACAGCTCCTCGTGAGCCATGCAATCACCAGGATAAACAGCCAGCACCCCACAGTGTAATCATTGTCAGATGATTTTGCCCAACTGCAGGCTAATGTATGTAACGTGTTCTGAGGACATTTAAGGTAGGCTAGGCTAAGCTGTGAGGTTCAGTAGGTTAGGGGTATTAAATGCATTTTTGGCCTACAGTGGGTTTATTGGGATGTAACCCTATTGTAAATTGAGGAGCATTTGCACTATAGTTGGAGAACAATATTCTGGTGCAAACATTCAATGTTAAAGTTAAGGAGTCCTCCCAGATTGTCAACACCAGGACAAAGGCCCATGGTGGTGAGCTACGTGGCAATCCTGCCACATACCTGTGCCATCGGGGGTGGCGCACACGTAGGTGGGCAGCATCTTGACAGTGGCAACGCTGTGAGTCTCCTTGCTCAGGCCTCGCTCTATTTCTACCTTCATCCTCCTCTTGACTTCCAGCAGCTGCTCGCGGCTCAGCTTCAGAGACTCCAAGATCTTCTGCCGGGCTCGGTGTTGGTCAGCCAGCCGGTAGGCCACTGCTGTCACCATGGCTGCCCCCTTGCCACTGCCGTCCTCAGAGCGGAGGAAACGGACATCGCAGTCAGGCACCAGGCGCCGCACGGTCTTGTGAAGACGCTTCGCAAAACTGCAGTCACCAAGGTGGGGTAAGAGGTGAGTGTCCACAGCGAGGGCCAATGGTGCTAATAGCGGGGGCGTTCACTCAGCCCCTCAGCGCAAAAGCCAGGAGGCACCTGCAGAAGCCCATGCTGCCCTGAACATCCCCTCCCCTGTTTCCCAAGTTAGGGGTCACTGTGCAAAAGCTCACGTATTCAACTGTGTCCACCCTGGCTGGGCCCTGCCTGGCCTGCTGAAAGGAAAGGACCCTTCTAGGAAGACATGGTCCCCTGCATGAAGTCACACAGACCCCCACTTCCCCCAGGCCACAGTTCCTGTACCCTAAATATCAGCCTCTTTGCTGGAGCAGTGCAATGGATTCAGGTGATTCTGACACCAACTCCAATTCATGTTCCATCACCCACTTCATTAGGTGCCGCCAGGGAAAGACCCAAATCAGAAAAAGTTGAAATGCTCTTCTGGACTTTGTCTTTTCTTTAGCCAATTTCTGCCAAATATGCCAAAGATGTCTGAACAGGTATGCTCAGCAAGAAATTCCTGGGCAGTAGCTGCTTTGAGCCATGGCTTCCAGGACCTTACCACTCCAAGAGTGGCCTGTGGGCCTGCAGCACCACTGGGTTGAACCCAGAACTCCTGAACTAGAACCAGCCTTTTAACAGGATGCCCCAGTGATTTGTGTGTACTTCCAAGTGTCTGAAGCACTGGACTAGGAGGCCAGGGAATGGGAGTGCTGAGACCTTTGGCATCAACCAATTCTGTCAATGAAGGCCTATTGACCAGGCACCCAAAACAGGTGAACATGATGGGATAAGTGGGCACAATAGAGAGAGATATCTTCTAGGTCCCTCCTGACATTTGCATATTGTGGCGTTTATGACCGAAGGGATGAAAACATGAAGGACAGGTATTAAATGTTTGTAAAAAACATTTAATACCCAGGTCAGCCGGAGAGGCTGAAAACCCACTAGGCTGAGGCAGCCCCTGCCAGAGGACACAGCACCCTAAGGGACCATCAAGAATCACGAGAGAGTCAAAGAAACAAGTAAAGAGAAATACTAACTTCTAAACAGGAGGGTGGCAACAGGAGCCCTAGGTGGCCAGAAGACCTCTGGGCAAACCCTGCCCCTGGTTGTCAGCAGGCTTCAGAAATCACCTCCACCCAAGCCAAGAACAACCCCTCCCAGCTCCCACTTCCCAGCTGGGAACTTTTGTTCTGCAAAGACCCTCAACTCCGCAGCCCATCTCCACCACCCCAGAATGCAGAGCGGAGCTGGCCTCTGGAGTCACTGGGGTCTCCCTCGAGCCCGTCAGGGGTCCCCAACAGATCTGGGATCCCCCTCACTATGGGTTCCAAACGCTGACTCACTGGGGGTGTTTCTTGTAGACGGAGCCGTCAACCCCAATGGTGGAACGCAGCCGCTCCTCGCCCTTGTTCTCCTTGAGGCGCCGGAGCACAGCGGCCAGGGTGGCCGCGCACAAGTTGGCTGAGCGTGTGGACACGATCTGACAGATCCGGTGAGTAGCCACGCAGTCCTCCTGTGTTGGGTCTATGCCCAGCCGCACCAGGACCTCGCGGGCCTTCCGGATACCATCCTTGTCCCTAGGAAACAGAAAGACAGTGTGTGGGCATGTGTCCTACCCACTGTGGCCAGTGGGAAGGGAGTGTGCAGGCTGACAAGGAAGCCCCTCAGCTTTAGCACACGGCATCTCTCGTGAGGCAGACGCCAATGCTCTGCCCACCACTGGGGACGGGGGGGTGATGAACAAGGAGGGGGAAACACAATTAAGGCTAAGGCTCCTCTCCCAGACAGATACACACACCCAAGTGTTATAGGCACCTCTCCTGACTTGATGAGAAAAACTAATATTTCTTATGCACATACTATGTAAGTACAAGGCCCTGTTCTCAGGGTTTTATACATGGAATTGTGTGTGTGTGAGTTTGCATGTTTGCTTGTGTCATGGGGTAGAGAGAATGGTGTCCCTTCGACTCACCGCCTCTGACCGTGTGAACCCTGCTGTGGAGCCCACCCTACTTTCTACAAAGCAGTCAGAGTCTACTGCATATCACAACGGAGAGGACGCAGCTTCAACCTGTGCTGAAGGACTGGTGCTACAAGAGCAGCACTGTGTCTTAGGGGAACTAAGCATCTCACAGATTTGAGTACTTTCATCTCACAATTCCTTCAAGAGTTTCCATTTCAAGTCATCTGAAATGTTTCACTGCTCCCAATGGCTCCAAAATCACCTCCTTCCCACCATCTGGTCCCGGAAACGACAAGGCCTCCTCAAGCCACTAGTGGGAGCCTCAAGAACAGGAAACAAGGCCAATTCTGGATATTGTTAAACTGAAAAACAAAAATGAGGCCACCCTCACTCCCACCCCTGCTGCTCCACGAAATGCAGGCCTCGGCTCTACCTACTGGAACTGAACGGGTATATCTCAAGCCTGTCCAAAGACCTATTTTTCTGTTATGGAGCAGGAGTCAGAATGGGGAGGCCTTTTTGAGAACCACCAATGGACCTTCAGAAGAAGGGAAAGGAAACAGATGCAAATGAGTCATTAAGGGCCACTGGGAGCTTCCAGCATTAAGCCAAGACTCCCACTCCATCCCAGGCCAAGCAGGGATGTAAGTGTGACATCTCTGCACTTGGAGGTCAGTCCCAGTACCATGAGTCACTTTGGTAGTCAGCACACTCAGAATAGACAAGCGTGGAGACTATCTGGGAAGTGACATCAAGCCACGGCCCAGCATGTGGGGCAAGATCCTCTTGCTGTCCACAATTGAGGGGTCAAGGGCCAGTGCCTCTTCCTCATCCCCCAACTTCCTGTCCACTCTTCAGTAAACAGAGAGGAACCTGAAAGCTTACCCTTCAATATCTGAAACATCCTTGGTCTCAAAACGGCCCTTGGCGAGGAGTTCGGGGCTGAGCTTCCCCCTGAAGAGCAGCTCCTCCTTGGCCATCTTCACCAGGATAAGCCTCACCAGCTCCCCCATGTACATCCCACTGATCATCTTCTCAAATCTGCAGGAAGATACAGGCCAGAAAACAAATAAAGTCCCTGCTGTTTGTGAACCCACAACGCCCCAGGGAAGGCAACATGCACACACGTTAAGTTTCAACAACTGTTGAAGAGGCTGATGCACAATGAAGTGTTGACTTGTGTGGCACTGACTGGGAAGGGGTTGTATGAAGTGACAGCTCAGGGCAGGCTGGAGGAGCGGGGGAGCCTGGGCTGTCTCTGCGGGCAGGTGGACCCTGAACTATGGAGAAGGATGGGCCATTAGCAGCTTTACAAACATCCAAGGACTATGGGAAATTCTGGAATAGTCTACATTTTAGGTAAAGTAAGTTACATGTAAGACAGTGAGTTTTAATTTCTTTTTTTTCTGTAGCAAGGAAGTGTTTTTTGAAAATGAAACCTAATGTAGAATGAACCTCAGTATTTATTTACAAAAGAAAAAGGTCACTCTGATTCAATGCGACGGCGGGGGCGGGGGGAGCTGGGGGGAGAGGCATTGGCTTGTAATGAAAGTTACAAGTAAATGGCTGTGCAGGCCCAGCAACCCATCACCTCACACTGGCCCTATCCCCTCGCAGGACGTTTGTGGATTCCTGAGAAAAGTGTAAAAAACTACCAGGGGTGGTGGGGGAGGAGGGGTGATGGGGCAAGATTAGAAGGGCAGGTTGCGGCGGTTGAGAAGGGGCTCAAAATGCCACAAAGTCTTTCGGGAATATGGGAGTGAGATATGCCGGAATTTTCTGAGCAAGCAGGTGGTAAGATATAGGCATGTTTAAGAACAGCCAGCCCCAAGCTGAGGGCAGTTGGGTAATTTATTTCTTCAACACTAGGTGGCACTGTTTTCTTTAGAAGACAATCTTTCTGTCTCAGAGTTTGTGACAGGAGAAACCAAGTCTTTATCTTTCTTTTTGGCAAAGAAGCCCCTTACTTGCTATCTCAGAAAGGATCTGGGTCCTTGGGAGAGGAGGTCCCCAGGGCCCGCGGGCACTAACCAGGCCAGGCTTCCTCAAGGAGGCCCACAGCAGGGGTGGGGAAGGGACTCAGTTGTCTCCTGGTGCTATCTACAGAGAAGAAGTTGAACCCTCAGAAAATGACTTGCTCAAGACCCAAGGTCAGGTGTGGCAGAATCACAGCTAAGTAGAGAGCTGGCTGAACTGCTTGAGCAGAGGGTGCATTTGAAAGTCTCAAGCACCAGAGCAGCCAACTGCCTGGAAGGCAGACCCTTCAACAGCAAGGAACTTGCGCACCTGTTACAGCAGCTTCTGTGAATAGGTGGTCCTACAGGAGGTAGGAGAGGGGTCCAGTGGGGCTCTGAAGTATCGACAGTTTTTAAAAATTTTAATTCCAGTTTTTAAAAACATTTTGCTTCTGTCAACGTTTGGAAAGTATTCATTTAAAAACATATAAAGAATCAAAAATGTTCCAACTCAAGCCCAAAAATGACTTTGGGTCTACCACAGCTGACACTGATAGATGTCCCTCCAGCCTTTGATTTGATTTGCCTAAGACTAAGCCAGCGGTGGGTTGCCAAGGCCGGCTAGCATTTCTGTCTTCTGACACCTCAAAGGGCACACATAATATGGCTTCTTGGAATGCCGTGGGCGTGCCTCACTGAGGGAGGCAGGCATCGAGTGAGTGACTGTTCAGTCCATAAATTCCTCACCGGCCATGGCAGACACAGTCAGGGTGATTCTATGGAAGTTACAAGTAAATGGACTCTCCTTTGCACATGTAAGAAAGCTTGTGCTTTAAATAAACTATGCGTCCTTGAGGAAGCAAGGACTCTCCCTGTAAAGAAAGAGGCCCCCACCGCCGAGCTGGTCTGTAGGGTTGGATTTTCCTCTCCCAGAAGAGAGAGCACTATGAGCTCTCCGGCCCAGTCCCAGCAATAAGACCAGAGAGGGCCTGGATTGCTCAAAACATTTTGTAATTGCCTTCAAAGCTTGCAGCAATCCCTATTTCAAGATCTTTAAGGGGCATTTGGCAAATGTTTGTGAGAGTGAAATAATGTTTTGTAAGAGCCAAAAGTAAGTACCAAGTCTGGCCAGGGTGGAGAGTATAAAATTCAGGGTCCAAATGCTGGAACCTTTCCTCCAGTTCACCCCAGGGCCCCAGCCAGACCACAAGTTCAGGGAACGTGGCCAAGGAGACACCTTAACCAATTCGTCAACAGGGCCCTGGGTCTGGGTACTACTAGGGGGCGAGGCACTGGGAACTCCATGGGATCGGCCTAGCTCAACCAGCAATGCCACCAGAGCTCTGAGTCAGAGCCGCCGCCAGTCATTGGGAGCCACCTATCACAGCCTTATTGTCTGGACAGTGACAGGGGTGGGAGCTACAAAAGGAGCTTTTGGAGACCCAAATCCTGGCCATCTCAACACTTTTCTATGTGGCTCACAAACTGTCTCTAAGGGCAACCTACAAATTGAAAATGGAAAGAAAGAGCAGGGTCACACTTAGATTCAGAATACGACTTTCTAAAACTACTGTTCTGAAGGACAAACCAAATTATTACCTGGTTTGTCTGCTTTTTCTATCTTTCTTAGAGCCCTCTCAGAAATTTAGTCACAATGTGTATAATGAGCACAAATTCCCAAAGCCAACGGGCACCTTGGCAACCTTTGGGGGATATAAGACGCTAAAGCAAAAATGAGAGCCACCCCCTAGCCCTGGTCATGCCCCAGCCCAACTCCTGAGCCCGCTCCCCAAGCCCTCTGCTCACAGTTGCTTCCCAGGGTTCAGGGAGCCCATGTCGATCTCCTGGTCAAACACAGTGCGGATGTCATCGAGCACGCCGTCGTCCCCAAAGGCCCCCCACTCCATGTTGATGCACATCCGCCCCTCGTCGCCCTCCACCGTGTCTATGTGGCGCATCTCTTCCATGTAGCAGGCATTGCTGCCCGTGCCTGGCCGAAACAAGGGGCTGCTCAGTGCGCACCACGCTGTCCTCTCCCTGGCGCCCATCTCCCTCTTGCCCCACCATCCTGACACTGCCCAGGGGGGCTGGGATTCCTCAAAGCAGACTCCCGGGGTATCCTAGCATGGTCCACTCTGCTAACACCCCCAAGTCCAGAAATACTGGCTCGGTCCTCTGAAGTGACCACACCGTTATCTTCCAATATGAAGTACAAAGGAACATCCGGGCCGGGGACCCCTGCTCCCTTTCCAGCCCACACCCCATCCATTGGCCAGCTCCAGCCCTCACGCCCAGCGCTCACGCACCCACAATGAGACCAATCTCGCAGTTCTGGTCATCATAACCACAGGTCATCATGGTCCCAACTGTGTCATTCACCACAGCTACAATATCGATATCAAAGTCCTGCAGGGATAAAAAGAGAGATCTGACCTTCACTATCACACAAAGGTCATAAATGTGCAGATGGAGAGAAAGAGCAGCAAGATACACAGCTCAAGAGTAACAGGGCTGCCTCCTGACTAACGCTTCTTAATACCAAAGAAGGTTATAGCTGGAAACTGGGTCCCCATCCAGTCTAGCAGCTGCATCTCCCGTCCCACCCTGCCTGTCCTCATCAGGGAGAACTTCCCAACAGCAGCCCTGCGCTCTAGCTGATAGTCATCGCTGCACTAAGAATAGCCCATCTTGTCATTGTTGTAGTCTTCTCCTCTTTCTTCTTCTTTTCTTTACCTCTCTTCCCCTCTCTCCCTCCCAGAAGGTCTGCGACCTTCTGCGACCTTTATCTTGTCCTCTCTCCACCCCATTCCACCCTAATGCCAACATCATCCCAACTTTCTTAGTTGAAAATGATATTCAAGCCTTCTTCAGGTTAAGAACTAAAGGGTTTTCCTTGCACCAAGGCTAAGATTATTTATTATGATCTTCTGACACCTCGAAGGTCTGGTCATTTATAAAATTCTTGGTATGGTAATTATTTTACAATATACATGTATCAACTTCTTATGTAGTACATCTTAAATGGATACAGAGCTGTATGTCAATTACATGTCAATAAAACTGGAAGGAATAAATATATTATTGGGGTAAACATAGCAGGGAAGAAGAGAAAAAAACCAACTCATCTGAAGAACAACAGAAGGTTCTCATGCCGTTTTGAGGACAGACTGGGGAGACTTCAGAGTGGACACAAAGGAGCCCCCAGACCCCAAGCTCCTGCCTCCCCATCACTGCCACCCCCACTCACCCCTCTCCTCTGGATGGCCTTGCGGATCAGAGTAACCACGTCTTTGCCTTCCACACCACTGGACTTGAACCCTTTGGTCCATGAGACCAGGAAACTCTGGAAAAGGACCAAGGATTGAACATTAATTCCTTGTAAAACTTAGACCACAATCATCAAACAACCATAGTGGAGCCCTCTACCATGGGGCTAAACTAAAGCCATGCTCAAACGTGTATATTGCTTCCTAACTAGCCTAGGAAGAAATCCAAGCCCCATGAAAGTCCCAGGAAGGGAGTTAAATGAATGATTTCTTCATGATCAACCAACTGCCCCCAAAAGTGAAAAGGGCAGGCTATAGAACTGCCGATAGGGTACTTTAACCTCTGTCTGAACTCTGCAGTCATCTTTCTTCCAAAGATTTTTATCACAACACTAGATCAAAGGAGTTCCTGACTAATTTCCCACTCCTGTTTCCCTAAGAGGGATAGGATAATGTACAATGTATGTGGGATTGCGCATTGTCCTTTGAAGGGCAGGGGATAAAGACCCCCCCTTCTCTGGTCCTTCCTCACCATCCTCCACGCCCTCACACACAGAAGCACAGAACTCTCAATATTTAAACCTCGTCCACACAACCATCACAGCCACCTCCAACCCCACGGCAGCAGGTGGCTCAGAGTTCTTTCTCATCCTCCCAGCCCAAACAATAAAGCAACAAAAGAACTCAGCTTACCTCGTCTAGTTTTGTTTGGATGCAGGGGAATGAGAATGTAAAGCCCAAGGGGAGCTTCTTGTCTTTGATTTCTAGCTTCTCCATGAAGTTGGCCAGGCATTCAGCGATGTGGTCAAACAGCTGAGGAGGTCACACAACACAGCAAGGTGAGCAGGAGGTCACAACAGCATAGCGATTAAGAGCATGAACTTCGGGATCTGAAGGGAACTGGCTGAATAAATGGAAGGTATATATTTCCTGTGAAGTCTTTATGGGGATGGATGATAATAGTACCTGGCCTTGCAGAGTTACCAAAACTCAATACATATAAAGGCTTAACACTAGTTAGTGCTTATTAAATACTATCTTCCACTTAAACCATTTATCCATACCACTATCTAAATAATCCCATGAGGCAGGGGAAATCATAGCCAGAGATAATCAGAAAGTCTGTACATGCCCTAGGAACAGAACATCCTTTGGTGGCCTTGTCAGAATCTCCCTTGACATTGATGCACAGCTAAAGGGGAACGCATCTTGGTGCCAAGCAGTATTTTAACATCGCTGTCTTCTATGATTGGGGAGTGGGTGAGACATTCTCTGTGGGCATTCTATGAAGGGACTTAACAAAAACAAGTAATTTTTGTATTTCTTCTCCATTCTAGAAAACTAATTTCTTGTGTATATGTGTGTTGGGGGGTGGAATTCAAAGAAGTTATCTTTGCTTTCTAAATGCATGTTGGAACACCCAGTGAGTCCATGAAAAGCACTGAAAAATGAGTAGGATTTTGTGAGCAGGCAGCCTCACAACTATGCCTGTGCTAAGCAGGGCTTGCAACTCTTAGGAAAAATCCTAAACCTAAGACAAAGCTGTATTCGCAATTGTCCAGGCTTTCAATGAGTCCCAGGGCCCATAGTTCCATGCCTTTCTTCTTTGAAGCATTCTGAAAAAGAAGCTGGTGACCTCTCCAGATGCTGAGAGGCTGAGACCAGGGCTTTCTGGTACAATAAGTAAGCAGAGGCCATAAGAAACTGAGCAGATCCTAAGGGCCAGGTTGACCAAATGTCACAACTAAGTCAAGGGGCTGAAGCAGAACAATACTCATTTTCTTCTCCAGGCAGAAGTGAGGAAGATTCCACTCAACCAGAGGTTCCCAAAGTGGTTCTGAGCCAGCAATATCACTACCACCAATACAAATGCTGAGGGCCAAACCCAAACCTGCTGAATCTGAAACTGTAGGGGTTGGGCCCTCTAGCCGATCCTGAAGCAGCAGGTTAGAAAACCACTGCACTGATCCACAAAAAGTATTTGCATTTATAAAAGAACTGAGAGGTTGGGGAGTAGCAGGCTAGGTTGAAAGGCCCACTGGCTCCTCAGGTGTCTGGGATATCTCAGTGGCAGGAATCCAGGAAGACAAGGCCACCCCAACCTAGAAGGTAGCCAGCTTCCTGCATCTACCTGTCCCTTTGTCTGTTCACCGGCAAAAGTCACTTCAGCTGATTCTGAAACTCTCAATCTCTAAACCAAAACAATCTCAAGAGCAAAGACAGGGCCCTTTCACCAAAAGGTTCACCTGTGCACAAGTGCTAACTCCTTCGGGCAGAGGCCAAGTATTTTAACATGTAAATAGGATTTCTAATAGCTATTCAGAAAGTTCTGTTCATCTGTTGGAAAGTGGATCAGAGACAAGATTTATGGTATGGTTAAACAAATCCCCAGCATCTTCTTCCTGGTACTCTAATCAAAATGACCTTTAATACAAATAGTGTTTATCCGAAAGGCGGCTAGTTACAGAAGTGTGTAAAGAAGTAAGGCCAATCATCAGAGATGGGGGAGGGGTGCTTTAGAAGAAATCAAAGCAAAATGGCCCCCCCCCCCGCCCCGCCCAGCCCTGCTCACAGTTCCCTTTCCAATTGCCCCGGCAACAAGGGGAAACAGAACAAAAAGAGAAGCAGTAAAGAGGCATTAAATAACATTCTGCCTGATATAGGAGCCACTCACCACTGTAGCTATTTAGATTAATTAGGATTTCTAAAATTAAAAATTCACTTCCTCGGTCACATTAGCAACATTTCAAGTGCTCAGTGCCACAGGTGGCTCGCGGCCACTGTATTGCACAGGCAGATAAAGAATAGCTCCACTGTTGTGAAAAGTCCTCTTGCACAGCGCTGGGTTACAAGAACCTACACTACTCTGGAAATAGGAAAGCCCTACCCCTGGCGTGGCTCAGCTGGGCGTCATCCTGCAAACCGAAAGGTCACCAGTTCGAGGGCTCGTGGCTGGGTTGTGGGCCTGCTCCCCAGCTGGGGCACGTGTGAGAGGCAACCAGTCAATGTTTCTCTCCCTCTCTTTCTTCCTCCTTTCCCCTCTCTCTAAAAATAAATAAAGTCTTTAAAAATGAAAATAAAAGTGGGAAAGAGGGGACCATCTGCTTCCTCATTTAAAAGACTCTTTATCTCCTTTTCTGTTAGCTGATGACCTTAAGATAAGGTGCTGGGAGAAAGAGCTAACACCTTCCTGCCATAAAAAGCCCAAACGGCATCATTTTATGAAGTTACAAAATGTTTCCTTTTCCTTATTGGTTTGAGAATCTGGTCACTTTCCTTCCCATAAGATACCCTTAAAAAACCTAAAGTGGCTGCTGCTATTGGATTTGTGATTCACTGCTCTCAAGTGGAAGCTCATGCATTAGAAGGCAGGGTTCATCCAGCAGCCCACACTGCCCAGGTTTCTAGATCTTCAAAAACCTTTGCAAGTTTTGGAGGTGGTGATTTCATCTTGGTTCTGACTAAATTTTATTTTTTAAATCCATTTGTTTTCCCCCAATTATAAGATTGATACCTTAAATAAAGAGAAAGGGGCACTAGTAATTCCAGTCTTTTTACCGTGTTGTTTTCTGCTGCTTTTAAACTTATTATTATTTCTCTTCCTTAGGGTGAAATAAACGCCTATACTTTCTTCCTGTTTTCTTCACGTTTCATTTTTATGGAGCATTTTTCCATTTATTCAAAATCTTTTTAATATCATAATAGTTTTCACAGCTTTTTCCAGGTAGGTCTCATAGTTCGTTTGTTTTTTTTCAATTTGGACCACAACACTGTGTGTGTGAATACTGGACCTAGTGACAGCCTCGGCAGAGCTCCAGTGTTCACTGGCCCAGGGACGCAGCCCCCCTCCTCTAGCCCCAACCCTGCAACAAGGAAAACAGGTTTACCCTCAGGTCGACCCCAAGGACATAGTTAAGGGTCTAAAAATATCTCCCCGACATGTTCTACTTATAGCCCACGATTCCCTTCCCAGGAGGCGGCGTGGTATGGGAAACACTGGGCACCAGGAGGGCTCTTCTGAGCCCTGGATTTCACCCCTTCCATTCACTATTTTACGGAGTACATGCTGGGCATAAAATATAGCAGGAAGAGCCGGCACTCAAGCCTAGAGTGATCCCTATAGCAATGCCAGTATCCAGGAATGTCATCAGTAATCCCCATCCATGGACTGGGAGCAGCTGGGGAAGAAGCAAAAAAAAAGCCCAAGAAGGATTTTGTACATCAGATGAGAGGAGAGAGATGCCAGTTTCCCTGGACACTCAAGTGCAGAGGATAATGGCTGGACCTATGGCTATCACACACCAACCAGCCAGAAATTTCTGGTGTGGTGGCAATCAGTGGCCCCTTTGTAAGAGGGCCCTCCTGGGGAATTCTCAAGAGGGAGAGCCCCCAAAGGGCCTGGCCCACAGGATCTCATGTCTGCAGGAGAAGCAGCCCCTCCAGGGAGCACCTCCTACTCTGGAAGCGGGGGCAGGTAGCCAAGCCCCAGGACCACCACGTTGCCTAACTCCAGGGACCACCACTCAGGCGGACCACATCAGGCGGCCTACAAAGTAGGGGGAGCCGTCTCCCACCCCCACCACCTGGCTGTGCAAACGCAGCCGTCATATGGCTCTGGCTTTGTGTCCTGCCTCTGGTCCCTCCCACTTCTGGGATCTAAGGCCAGGTCGCCCAATCTTTCAAAGCCCAATCCCAATCTACAGAGATAACAGGAACACGCAGCCTCACACGGCTCATCTGAGGATACAATGTGAAGATCCAGAAAAGTGCTTTTGCTCAGCCTAACACACGTATCAGCTTCTCCCGCGGGTGGTTACTCATCCCCTTCAACACAATATTACTACTTTCCACGGGGTTTGGGGAGGCGGGGAGGGGATGTTCCTTGTGGCCCAGGTGGACTTTAAGCCCTGGAGCGCAAGGAGCAGGACTTTCCCCAGCAAGGGTCAGTGCCCGATGCACAGCAAGCAGGTGCTCCGCACATGTTTGGAGACTACCTCGATGGCAATCCCATCCTTGCTCATTTTTTTCTGACTCTTAATGAGAAGATTCTTACTCGGATTTTACATTTCTTCTCCACCCACTTGTTTTATTGTGTCGATTCTGAGTATAAAACATGGCCTTAGAAGCCACTGAAATATGAGGGTGACTAAGCATGATTGGGGCCAGTGTGGAGGCACATGGTGCCCACTGCGGTGCCAGGTGGGACAGACACCCCAAAGCTGAGTTTTGATGTTTTCTCAACAGGCTCCCATCCCTGTGTGCAAAACCTTTTCTATTTTAGACAGTCAAGAAGACAGAGAGCAAATAACCACAAAGGCAAAGGAACAGGCCCATTTCCACGTGATGCTATAACAACTGTGAGTCAAAGGGGGCTGCAGAGTGACCACAGTGGCCGGTGGCAGTGTCAAACCATAACCATGGATTCTACTGACTCGCCACTCAGTGGCACCACTAACAACCAGGTGTGCAGGAGTGTGGGCCCAGCCTCCTGACAAAGGGCTTTCCTCCGTAATCAGCATGTGCAAGCAGACCTCAAAAGCGGGGGCAAATCAAAGCTCCTCCTGCTGCTACATGTCCAGGCCCCAGCGCCTCATGCACGAGCTCCCTGCTTTCTGGTCCATGGGCATCTCTCCTGATGGAGGCCCTGCACTCAGCTCCCCACCATGGAGCGGGATCACCATGCAGAGAGAGGTCAGGAAATCCATGCTTCAGCCGGGACCCCCTCCCTCCAGACCACAGAGGACGAGCAGCGCCTGCTCCTGCGGGGCCCAGAACCCCCAGTGGCCGCTCTGGGAGCTGGTTCGGACCTGAGTGCCGCTGCCTCGCATGATGTCCTCAGGGATGGCGTAGATCTGGTTCTCCATCTCGACCTTCTGGAGCCCATTGTCTGTTACTCTCACCCAAAGCACACGAAAGTTGGTCCCTCCGAGGTCCAGAGCCAGGAACTCCCCATGTTCTGCAGATAGGAAGGGCCACTATTAGTTTGGAAAAGACAAGATCAAACTGCTTCACAGAGACCAAGACTTAAAACCCATGAGTCCTGCCACAAACGGAGTCCTTAATATCCTTCGAGTCCTTAAAATCCATGAGACCATAAATACTGGTAGTCTTTTGGTAATGGGGTGTCCAGTGGGCCTTAATTTTTTCTATACACATTTATGTATTGTCTGACCCTTTTTCTTAACGCTAAGCACTTTTATATTACTTTTACAATTCACATAAACCAAGAGTTTCATATCCAATGATGGGGCACCCACCCCCTCCCAGAGCCGACTGTCTCCCAGGGGCTCCCAGCCAAGTCCCCATCGAGTTCACGGGCCGCCCAGCCCTGCACCAGGAGTCCACGCCTCTGTTTTGTTCTTCATGCCCCCGGGACACTCAGCACGCTGCTACAGGCCTGTGGGCCCTGGGCCTGCTGCCAAACTGTGATCCCTGTACAAAATTTACTTTTAATGTTCACATACAGTGACAGCAATGTGAAGGAGTAGACTAGGGCCCAAATAAATGTAAGTTAAGGGGCCTAGCAAATAATGCAGGTGCCCCTCCAAAAAGCTCCTAGGCTTATTGTGAGAGAACGCTGACCCAAGAGTACGTAAGACAGAAGTCCGGCCGGTCGGCTATTCCATCAGACAAGCCCCGACCTGGGGCAAAGGGGAAAGAGGGAATCTGCACAGACACAAGCAGATCAAGATTTTTCAGGCGTCCCCAGGAAGGCAACGTCACCTCCCCCCTGGGAAACAAGCAGTGCAGGCGGAAAACACACACATTTTAGATGGCAGTACAGCTGGCCGCAGGGATAAGCTCCATTGTATGGCACAGCATGAAAGTGCTTAAGAGAGGCAGAGGCCAGCGCCAGGGCTGGGGGAGGGAGGCGGGCGCGTCCCCTCAGCAGCCTCCTCCACCGGTAATGGCTCCACCAGTCTTCCGCTGCCCTGCTACACACCTTCTTGAAGATACAGGGTTATTTCCTTGGGGGTTCACTGACTGGCATGTTTGTCAACACAGCCCTTTTCCTGATGGGAAACTATCACTGAAGTAATGTGGAATGGGTCGGAGGGTCGGGGAAATGCTCTGACTAAACAAATGACATCCAGGGTTTATTCCATGCCGGGTACCCTCAGGAGCACCCTCTCAGGCCCTGAGAAAAGCCATGGGTGCCTGGCTCCCTGAGGGCACTCCCCAAACCCGCTACAGTCCAGAGGGGCAACTTGGGGTGAACATCGTCCACCCAAACTTCCATGGGGACCTGCCTCCACACAACTGTGGTCTGGTGGTCCACTACACAGAGAGTGTCTGAGCGGGAGCCCGCATTATCTATGCCAGAACTCTGGCCAGGCAACATTCTGAGCCCCTGAGCCTCAGCTGCTTCATTTCTAAAATGGAAATGTCATACATTGTGTGGTTGTTGTGAGGGAAAAACTACAAAATGTGACTCAGGCACCCAGCCAAGAACTTAGGCTCTAAGTGCCAAGAACTTAGGACACACTCAATTAAGTGAAAGAAACTTTCCATTCAGGCTCTCGGCAAAACTGTCCGCTGCCCGCACTTGAGCCTTCCAGGCCCAGTGTTAGGGCTGCCTCTCAGACTGAAAAGCAAAAACCAACATTGAGCTATGGCTGCTATGGCTCAGTGGATTGAGTACCGGCTTGCAAACTGAAAGGCCGCTGGTTCGTTTCCCAGTCGGGTACATGCCTGGGTTGCAGGCCAGGTCCCAATGTCGGGGTGTGGAAGAGGCAACTGATTAATGTTTCTTCCCTCTCTATCTCCTTCCTTTCCCCTCTGAAAACAAACAAAATCTTTTTTTGAAAATTAACATCCCTGGAGGAGACTTAAGAGACATGTCCTAGAAAAGCCACTGTAATCTGCTCCAGTGACTGCAGCATTCCTGCGCAGGGATACACTTTCTGCTCCCTGCCAGGCATCTGCAGGCCCCCTCCCTGCTTCACTGGTTACGGCTGTTAGGAGCTAGGGCAACCTCAACCCCACCTGCGGTGACTCTGCTCCCCTGGTGGCCAGGGGCGACTTCTCCAGGCACTCCAGTTCTGAGCCTCCCCAGGTAGTGGAACCTCAGCCAAATTGTAGGAAAAGCTATGTGGTGGTTGTCATGAGGAATAAAAAAGAAAATCAAAGAAGAACTGCCTGAATCAGCACTGCAGCCCAGGACACATGCAATCCGCTGAATCGGCAACCACCGGGGATTGAGGCGGCTGAGGCTGCTGCTGGTTCATTGTGATTCAAGGCCAGCCCAGCTCAATTCACTGAGAGGCACAGCCCCATCAAGAATGGTGGTTTTGCAGTAGTATTTCCTAGTGGACTGAAGGGAAACCACAAATAATAAACTTCTGCTGATTAGTCCGTTCCCAGGATGGAATGCCATCTTTGTTTTCTTTCCATACTCCACCAAAACAGACTTTCCTCTGCATCCCTCCTCCCCAGCACCATCTCCATAAATACAAGGGGAACCCCCTCAAAACCTAATTATCTTCTGGAGGGCAGGCCCCTTGTAGTACAGGCTTCCCCCACTAGGTGAGTGTTCTAGGGACTCATCTGTATCAGCGCACCAGCTGGCGTTGTTGTAGAGAGCCTACATTTGGCTTTAGTGAATTTTTTTGAAAGACTCTTTGAACGTGTTTGCCCATTTCATGCTGGGTGATTTACCAGGGCACCTGCCCACATTGCGCTGAGAGTTCAGCAGTTTTTAACCAAAAATGGCATGGTCCCCATGTCCCACCCTCCTATTCACCTGATCTCATCCCAGCGACTTTTTTTTTTGTTTTCCCAGATGAAAAAAGTCCTCAAAGGAAAACATTCTGCCGATGTGGAAGATGTGAAACAAAAAAGCAGCAGAAGCACTAAAAGCCATCAAAATCAATGAGTTCAAAAGCTGTCTTGAGCAGTCTCTCCATTGGTGTAGTGCATCAAATGGAGAGTACTTTGAAGGTGACTGAAGCTTAAACATGTAAGAATCAATACACAATTTTTTATAAATAAATCCTGGGGAATTTTTCAGTCCCCACTGGTACACACGAGCACAACGACCATAGCTGAGAACTATCTACTTTCCAAAGTCCATGATCTCTGAGGCAGGCCCAGAACCATGAATCCTGGAATTAAATTTAAAGACAAGTTCTCAGAACGGTGACTCTAACCTCCCCTCGTGGCAACCTCCATGCCATGCATGGAACCCAGGCTACGAGCTGGACCTCAGAGACAGGCCGGCGGGCAGGCTTCGCTTTGAATTCCAGCCGCTTCACTACCTGTGTGCTCTCTGAGCACTGTCACCTCGCCCGTAGAATGGGGCTCATGAGGCTGACTTCTCCTGAGGGACATGAAGCTTCCATAAAATACCGAATACGTTATATGTAAATATATAGTAATTCATAGTAAGTTGCCAATAATTGTCTTCATTGCTGTTCCTTTGCGTGGCTATGTAGCTCCCCTTCTAATTCTTCTCAAACCCTCCAATCCCTACCTGCTCCTGTCCCTACTCCTGGCTCAAGTCCTGTCTCCACTGTGACCCTTCCAGGACACTTCAGAAGCCCAGAGCAGACAGTGAGTATGTGATGGGGTATGAAGGAGGATTGCATCTACAGGCCCGGGACAGTCACCATGGATGCGGAGGAGCAAGGCTCTGGGGCAGGAAAACATGCCTGTAGCAGGTTTCTTAAGGAAGGACTCAGGCAGGCGGCAGAAAAGCCGGTGAGGTCCAGGGAGATCATTCTGCTGAGCGATTTCAGTTGGTAGTGGAGGAAATATACAAAGAAAACGTCTCATATTGCATTTGCTCATTGTTAAAATGTTTAAATGCCAATTGTGGGATTTATATGAGACCCTAAGGTCAGAGGTAAGGTTTCTTTTATCGTTAAGCATACTATTTTGTCTAGGAAACAATATTAACTTTTTAAAAATAATAAAATACAAACATCTGATAAGAAAAAGTTCAAATGGTACGAAAGTGGACAAATGAAAAGCAAACATCTTTTTTCTTCTCTACACCCAGAAAGTAACCACTACTAATGTTTATTGGGTGTCCTTACGTAAATTTATTTTATCAAGACAGGGAAGGCTGTGGTAACTGATACATTCCAAGAAAAGAGTCCGAATCTCTGGTTCTAAGGATGTGTTTTTAATTGGGAAGATGTTGCGAAATTATCTTCCAAAAAGTTCTCACCAATTTCCACACAAACCAACAGGTAGGATTCACTCTCACCAGTGTCTACTGCTGTACAGCAATTAATCTTTGCCAACCTCCCAGGTCAAAGTGGTATCTCCCTTTTTAAATTTAGTTACTGTCTTTTTTTATTTTTTTTAAGATTTTATTTATTTACTTTTTCTTTTTAGAGAGAGAGGGGAAGGGAGGGAGAAGAAGAGGGAGAGAACCATCGATATGTGAGGAAAACATCGATTGGTTGCCTCTCACACGCTCCCAACTGGGGACCTGGCCCACAACCCAGGCATGTGCCCTGACTGGAAATCGAACTGGTGATCTTTCAGTTCGCAGGTCAGCGCTCAATCCACTGAGTCACACCAGCCAGGGCTGGTTACTTTCTTTCATATGAGGTTAGACATTTTGAATTATTGGCTAGCCTTTTGAATTCCTCTTCCTGTGTATTTTCTATGCACATCTTTTGCCTTTAAAAAAATATTCATTATTTCCTTAATAACCTAAAAGAGCTCTTTGCATATTAATGAAAACAGTTTTGTTGGTTGTGTATTCACAATTATTTTTTCCAGTGATATATGTCTTTTAATTTTGTTTTTGGTATTTCTGCCATTCAGAAATGTCTAATTTTTATGTTGTTAAAATATTTATGATTTCTGGGTTTTATGTTGTGTCTCAAGAAATTCTGAAGATTCCACTGTTCACCACTGTTTCTAAATCTCTCCGATTCCCCCTAATGTGGTCACCACCACCGCTAAAGTACAGGAAGCAAGTTTCACCATAGGTTTATTTCA